AGTGGAAGAAGAAGAAACTTACGTCAATAATAAAGTCAGTGAAAGGTTTGAGGCTGTCTGGCTCATCGTCTCTCTTGCAGAGCTCCCGTCTGTATTTGACCAGAAACAGTGCCAGGTTCTTCTCCTCTCTGGACACCTTCAATCGGATGTCCATCTTTTCCACCTGCTCTGGGGAGCGGAACAGAGCAGCCAGGATGGTCATGGGTTTGGGAGAGTGGTCTTTGGCGTTCTGCCACACTCGCTTCATCTCGTCAATATCGCCATCTGGAGGTAACCCTGAGGAGCAGCAGGGACAGGAGGGAGTGACCAGAACTGATGTGTAACAAGACAGAAAATGTTTGGTAGAATGATTTCTCCCTCAAACCTATTAAATACTAATTTAACAAGAGTTAAATCAGAGGAAATAGAACCTTAATAGATACGAGACAATAATAGAGCTCAGAGGACCACAGACATCAGGAGGCACTTAAATCCTCTTTATCTCAGGGAAGGAAACCAAAACTTTCTCCCAGTTATAAACAGCTGCAAATTGCAAGAAAACTGTTGGCACATTTGATCCATTATGTCCAGACCTATGCTAAGAAAACAATGATTTCACTGCCATCCTCTCAGGCCACTTTTAAGAAGGATCCGTGCCAAAGCAAAAGGGATACCATGCTCTGCAAAGTGGCCAAATTTGACCATATTGGGTAAAAAACTGTTGTCTACAAAAAGCATATTTCACAAATAATAACCATTTCTATGAGTATGAGTGTAGGTATAACCGTCAGCTAAATAAATATATAAAATAAAATAAAATAAAATAAAATAAAATTAAAAAAAATAAAATAAAATAAAATAAAATAAAATAAAAAACCTACAGGGAAAAACTAATGTTGACATCTGAGCTGCAACCATCATGATTTCCTTTTTAAAACAATTTATTTTTCTAATTCATCTTTGGTAGCGCTGGATATAATGTGAAAAACTCTTAAAATGTTAGATTTACCTTTTCTTCTTTTTAAAAACAGCTGAACATAAACATATAAACATTTTTTATCTGGAGTTTAAAATTATTAAGACACCCAGCCGTGCCCTCCCTCTCTCACCAATGTACTGAGCCAGTTCCAGGCTATAGATCAGCTCCAGCAGGTGAGCAGCATGGTTCCCGACCGCCAACTTTTTTAGCTCCACCCAGATTCGCTCTCCCGATATAGCGCCCAGTCCGTGACCATTTTCCCTGATGGCAGTCACTGTCTCAGGCTCGTGGTCACCGGGCTCCGAAGAAACTCGGCCGTAAAACCTGCGACAAAATGATGGGAGTGAAGTGGTTAATACGCTCACGTCAAACAAGGAAGACAATCTGCTTTTCAAACGTCACAGTCTCAAATTGATACAAAAAGAAATGAGGAAGTCTACCTAAAATATCGTAGTATTCTCAGGTAGTCCTCTTTGATCCTTTGTTCAGCGCTGCCAACAAACCGCACTTTACGGTTCTGCAGGTCCTCATATCCACGATAATAATCATACAATGTGCCGTCCAGACCTGTTATAAGAAGCAGAGTCACACAACTTGTCACAAAAAAATTGGAATGCAAAAACAATACTTTTTGGTTGCAACTGGGAACTTCAGACTGACTCTTCTTCTAGTTCTCTTTTAAATATCAATATAGCAACACAATTTCTGACATTTTAAGTACTTCCAAAACTGTTTTAATGTGTTTATTCTCAACACAAACTCAAGTTCTCTGCTCTGTGATTGCCAAGAAAATTCTGGACAACCTGCACGAGTGCTTCCCGTGGCTTAAGCTTCCTTTTGAACTCACTGTCAAGCATCAGTTAACAGATTTCAGGAAAAACACCAAGAACACATTCCTAATTTTGGCTTCACTTTTCTGGAGACCAGATTTATTTCTTAAATGGTGAATCTGTCCCATTATCACAGCTGTACAATACTTGAAACATCATAATTTTAAAAAAAAATAAAACTGAACGTGCTAGATGAAAATGGTTTTTAGATTTTGAGTGAAGGTGAAGGTACAGGTGAAAGAAGCTCAGTGTTATCAATTCTTTGTACGGTCCATTTTTAGGCTCAGTGGAGAAGAAGGGAAATTACCCAGAAACATGGAGTTAATGGTGAGGTCTCTCCGCTCAGCATCTTTCTGCCAGTCAGTTGTGAATTCCACCTCTGCATGACGCCCATCAGTCTGAACATCCACTCGCAGTGTGGTCACCTCAAAGCTCTCATTGTGCAGCTGCAAACACCCAATAAAGGAAACACTCATCAAGATCAGAGGCACAGAGAAGCCCGTGTTCTTCAACTGCTGTCAAGTACAAATACTATCAGAGTCATTTCACAGTCTTTATAGAACAAATCCAGCTTAGTTCATGAGAAAATTCTTGCACTTGATAAACATCCAAACGTATTGAGCCATACGTTTCAGCCTGCTGCACCTGCTCATTAGAACAAAATCTTTACATATTCTAGAAACATAAACATCACTCATTAGCAGAGCTTCCTGTTAGTGGGCTGCTTATTTATGCAATGCATCAGGGCCGTTCAACCATTTCAATCTTTCCATTAAGATTTAAGATTTGACTGATGATGCAGCTGGCTGCTCAGTGAATCATCACAATCTTTGCTCACGTATTTACTTTATATTTGCACACTTACTTTATTCCACCATTAAAACTGACCCTCACATGACCATGTGGTCATAAACAGATGTGAAGAATCTGGACAATTACACTTTTAGTTTGTAATTCTGTAGGTTATTTAGCCTAAAATATAAAACAGCTACTGTATGAGACCAACTTTTTGATTTGTTCATTTAAATTTTAAAACATTTAATTCTTAATCCTAATCATGAAGAAAGCTCATTCAGCCTAAAACCTTGTTTGACTGGCTTGTTTTTTTCGTTTTGTTTTTATTTTAAGAATCATCACAAGTGTTGATTTGGACAAACTAGCTCTAATATTTGCGATGCATTTTTAAGCTTTACTAAATCTTGCCTTGTTAACTCACATGACCTCCTCTTCACTCATATTTACCATAAATACCAACTCTAAAATCTGAACCTCGTGTGAATCTTTAAAAATGACACCCAGCATCTATCTATAGAGTACACTTCAAATTTAGCTGTCTAAATAGTTATTATTTTCCTAAGTGCATTTTATTTTCTATTAGACAAAAACAGACAGAAAATATACATGTTCTAAGAAATCAGTAATAAAGTTATTATTCCTTTCAAACAACATTAGCTACCATAACTATACCAGGACAGCAAGTTTGGTTAAGCAGTCGCTGACAGTTAAGTTTAACACTGTTCAAATCAGCTTTTAGCATTATTTAGACAAATGAAAGACTTCATCAGCGTTACACAGCAGAGCCTCTTACTCGTGCAGTGATAGTCCCGTGCTTCTCTCCTTTATTGTTGATCATCCTGATCCCAGCCGTTTGAAACATGTGCTTCATCTCCTCTGGAGTGGCTGTCGTAGCAAAATCCACATCTTCAGGCCGCTTCCCAGACAGCAGATCCCGCACAGCACCTCCAGCTATCCTCAGCTCATGCTGGTGTTTCTCAAACACCTCTGGAAAAACCGTGCAAACACACTCAGGAAACTTTTCAGAAGTTGCGCCTGGAGGTTGTTTTGACCTCTGCAGTGTATTTGCTCTCTTGCAAATCACCTGACAAGTTTAAAATTTTTAACTATTTTATCCTTAGTCTGTTAATAAAACAGGAGTTTTACATCTCACGATCTCTTTCTCGTCTAAATATACCTTTAAAAAAAGGGGGCAAGTTTTACACACTGCTTTGGTCCTGAAGCAGACATTCTGACACAGAAGAAAAAGAGCAGTTGCATCATCTGTAAAGCACTGCATCAAAGATGCTAAAGTGAAGTCTGAAATGCAGCCATCACAAATATCAGTTAAATCAGTCACTCTGGGGTATGTTCTGTTTTTGATTAGTTCACTTTCATGTTTTACTGACGTGACTCCCACTTAAATCCAACTCTGCTTTTCATACCATCAAAATATGTCAAAAAAGGGTCTATGGCTGTTGCAGGATTTATTCAGGCAGGTTGAGGGACAATATCAGGGAATTACAGCTTCTTATAACTTGGTGACTTTTCACGCAAACGTTGAAAACCTATTTGGCCAGGCTTCTTCAAAATAACATCCACGGGCTATTCAATCATTCTGGCATAAATGAAAAGTCAGTCTCGCCTCCAACCAGATTAAAATACAGCAGCTCTGCTTCTACCTGTCTACATGTTTTATAATGTGTTTTAAAAGTTTTAACTTATTTTACTAGTCACTTTTAAAGCAGCTGAGGCCCTTCTGGTTGCTCTAAAGTCGAGACTTAAATCTAAAGGTGACCGTGCTATTGCCATCACAGGCCCCAAGCTTTCGAAAACAATCTGCCCAAGGAGATAAGGTAAAATTGGTGACTACTTGAAATCACTAGAAAAAACACATTTTTATAAACTTGCTTTTGTGACGTTTTGATCTCTCTGGTTTGTCTTTCACCCTCTTATTGCTGCTTTATATTCTCATTTGGTTTTTAATTCTCTTTTGCTTTCGGTCAAGGAGCTTGTGTTTCTGGTACTGTTTATGTACGTGTGTATTTCTGTCTGTAAACATGATAGCTCAAAAGTTTGACATTAATTATGATAACCATTAAATTTTGGCTTAGACCCACTGAGGTCTTTAAGGTCAACTTAATGACTTGTTGGTCATAAACTGACAAAAAGCCTTATAACTTAGAAACTATGATTTTTACAAGTGTGGTTAGCACTGTATAAAGATTTAGAATTTCATTTCCCATTTGGGCTTTAAACCTCTCATTCAAGGTTAGTAGATTGATCTGAAGGTCAAAACAATAATAATGCTACACAGAGCTATTTAAAAGTGTTTCTTACTGTCCAGCGAGTGAGCTGCCTTGGTGGAGATTTGGGCTCTCAGAGTGCTTCATATGTTTTTTGGCTTTTACAATATAATACGTTTCTGATGCAGTGCTTTTTCTGTCTTAATATTTATTTTCCTTTTAAATCCCGTTTTATATTTGGTCCCAATTTCCAAGCTTTCTGTTTTAATACTAAATAAATAAAGCAATTATTACTATCAACATAGAAGAACCATCATCTTGTGAAAATTGTTAAAAACCCTTATTTCCGGTATGGTAAATTCAATTTCTCGCCATGGAAGCGCAATGCATTAAAACAATAAACCTGTACCTAATACAAAACCTCGATGTTGAATAAAAACTGCATTAATAATTAATTGTATAAGAAAGTAAGTAACAGACCGACGGGCGGTCTTCGGTTCTTAACTGCTCTCCGAGTGTCCCCATTTATTTTTAATAGGAAGTGATCAAGTTGTCAGTCACTCTGTCATTGTGCACGGGTATTAACATTTCACAAATAGGCGAAAACTCAAAGGTTTAAGTGACCGCAGCTGGCACGTGTCCTTCCGCAGCTGTGCCTCACCTGCCAATCCATTCAGTCCATCAGTGAACAGGGACTGGAACTCGCTGGTCTTTAGCTGCATGGTAAACAGGCTTCTCCAACACAAACTTGCTCTACCACTCACACGAGGACTCAGTAACCTGCTCCACATCTGCACAGACAAAAGACACGTTGTCACGGGCTGCTGCTTGGTTGTGTATCACTACTTCTATCGAGCTAGCTAGCTATGAGTCACTGAACGCATGCTCCTGCGCTCGAGCAGCTCTCGTGAACATTTCACGTTGATGTTTTTCCATGCCAACGTATGTGTAACCAAAAACAACAGACAAACTGACCTACAACTTAACAAGGAGATTATATGCGCATAAATCGCCACTATTTCCCATAACACCGTCCTGTTATCTCTCGTGAAAGCTGGCCGGAAGAGTTT